ATTTTGTTATCTGTAAATACATTCCTTAATGTAGCTATAATTTTTAATATCATATCCCTTATGTATGTGCTTTTAACTTTTATTAAAATTATTAGATGTTCAATTATTTTATTTTAACCCTTCAAGTTGTTGCCAACTAACCAGGATATCGGGTTATTAGTAAGGTTTGTTTATTTTGTTCTTTTTTCAGTGATAGTGATTGTGATTACATGGGTATTTTTATTGGGCTAATTTTCATTTTTATTGACTCAGTAACAAGAAGTAACATCTTTATGTCACTATTTTAATAAGAAAAACTGACAAGAGAATAAAAAAAGGGAAACAGTAATTAAAGCATATTTTCATTCACTTAACAAAATCACATTTGATTTTGAAGTAAGGATGGAGCCTTCGTCTTCACTGCTCCTCCTGAACTTATTTCATTCTCTTTCCTTTATCTCTGCTCTCAGGTTACCTCTCAGGCTCAAATTACAGGTCTAACTAATTGGTCTTTAACAATCTCTTTATCTAACCTAGCTTTCTAATTTTGATATATATCACACTAGGAATCCCTCAGAGATGTGATAACAATAATAGATTTGCTTTCAAATAAAGAAAATTATGATTTTGCTGAGTCTAAAAAATGATTTCTTTGAATGACCAATTCTTCCTGTGTTGGGTTTTATTTTAAAACATCTTACCCACCAAATGAGTTTGACCACTGTATGAACACACAGAAATTACACAGACAACAGACAGACAGAAGCACCAGACACTTCACCATAGAAGGCACAAATGGTCAACAGGCACATGAAAATAAAAGTGTTCATCTTTCACCCTGTAAAAAAAATGAATACGGAATTCTTCAGAAATTATAGGAGGGAACACTTTCTGATGGATTCTGAAGCAAGCATTACCCTGATACCAAGTCCAGACAAAAACACTGAGAGATATTTATCGCTGTCCTTTGGAATATGTTTTGATTATGACATCGTAATTGAGGGTTATAGAGGAACTTGGGGGAAAAACATTTAATGAATCTACCATTCAGGGAGCATCTAGAAGCCAGAAAAGATAAGGACACGAGTTCTCCCCTAGTCTCCAGAGAACACAGCCTTGCCATCACCTTGATTGTGACCTGAGACCCGTCTCAATTTTCTGACCTCCAGAACTGTAAGGCAATAAATTTGTTGCTTAAAGCCAACCAATGTTTTTTCTCTTTTGTTTTGAAAAAATTCCTGGCAGGTTATTTACTTATCATTTCTGCCATCTTAGCTTTCTCCTTCCTTTTTTAGTCTCTAAGACACAAACCTTCAAACTTTACATGGGGCTCTTCACGTCTCTTATGCCCTTCAATTTCTATCTGTTTTTTGCTCCACTTTTTAACTTGGATGTTTACTGAGCTCTTTACTAGTTTACTCTTACTCTGTGTCTAAAATGCTTTTGAGACATATGTTCAATTCTTATTTCAGTAAGAAAACAAATGTTTTATGTCCATTTTTCTTCTTTGTAGCACTTTGGCATCTCAATTCATGACTACTGCTGTTGTTTTTTAATGCCTTTACACACCTTTCTAAAAATTATACTTAACTTCTACAACTGTACTCACTAGCAGAATTAGCCTGTTCCCATCTCCATGGTTATCAACCCTGAAATTATGTGCCAGATTTCTTGGTCATAAGCTTACCCATAAGTGAGCTAATTTCATTGTATATGCATTCTAGAACGATTATCATAATATATTTCCACCATCAGGGAGGACCTGGAGCAAGTAAAGATGGGACATTTTAAAAAAATTAACTCACTGGGGGCCTCCCTGGTGGTGCAAGGGGTTAAGCACCGTACCATGAAGCTATCCACAGCCTCTGTAGCACGAGTTCAATCCCCGGCCGGCCAGGGAGCTACCCATATGGCACAGCAGACCTCTCCTGTCTCTCCTGCTGCTCCCCTCAGCAGTGTATTTCAGTCACTCTGCCTGTTCTGCTTCCCACTCTTGTCTTGGTGAATTCTCTCACTGCCCGCACCTCTGGCCTGTACCCCAGCTCTTGCATGCATGCATAAATAAATCTTTTAAAAAAATTAACTCACTGTTCTATAGCCAGCGTTCTAGGGTTAGTTTCCAGTTTGGCTTTATCTAACCTTCTGTCTGCTACAAGTGTGAGGGGGAGAGAAGAGGAGCAAGAACAAAGTGGAAAGGAAGCACAGTGGACCATGGAGGTGGGCTGTGTGTGTTTTGGTGGTTGGTGAATATTTAAGGTGAATTAGGGAAGCATTATTTCCTAGGATCCACTTGTCTTAAGTAATGACAAAGCCAATCATTGCAGTCCTGGGAGTCACACTGAGGTTTGAGTTATGCATTATCAAACAGGATAATTACAAATAATGTAGACATGCCCATGACAATGCTCAACAAGCAGAACTGGCTCCCCACAGACATTTTAAACACTTGTTTAGTTGGTGAGATAAAGCCCTTTTCAGTCCTCCTAGGGTATTTGTCCCCTAAGAGTTCAGTGACTCTATAAGTATCTCTGGGCTCCCATTCTTTAATCTTTTAAGTCCCAACATGGTTCCATTTGGCTTCATATTATAGGGTGCAGCCCAAGAACCAGAGTGACTTTGACCATCTACCTATTCATCTGAATTGTTAAGAGTTGTCCAGTAGCAATAATGACATATCTCCAAACTGACACCAATAAGAGTGTGCAGCAATGTCCAGAGAAAAACAACTGCAAGTATCAGCAATATTGAGATCATGATAATCACCCCAACCAAGTATAAATCTTTTTAGGCACTTTCTTATTTTGCTGTGTTAGCAGCAGTCTATACAGTGTTGGGCTTGCCTTTTGCTATTTTCATTATATTGTTGATTTTATCAAAGCTCAAAGAGGTTAAGTGACTTATCTAAGAAGAATGAGTAGCAGATCTTGAACTAGAAACCTTAGCTGATTCCAAGGCTAACAGCAATTTCTTTTCTTCATTTTTTTCTGCATCCTGAAAACTTTAAATTTTTTGATAAAACACTGGAGAACATCCCAATAAGGTGTTTACTTTCTCTGGCAGATGGAATCTGCTTTGAGATCTGCACACCTATGAAGGTGCTGAATTTGGATGTTGTATTGTTCAGGGAATAAGGTAAGGCTTCAAATCTACTGTTTTTAATTTTTCGTGGATATGGTTAATTGGGAAAATGCAACCAAAAAGCCATTTATTTCTTCTTTGATTTATTCAGATCTTTGGCTTGGATGCTCTGAACTTCTGTATCTGTTCCCTACAACCAGAGTTTATATGTCTACACTACAGATATTCTATCAGAACATGTGAATTTATCTTGTGACATTAGGGAATGTACAAGAAACTCTTGAAGCTCAGCTGAGTATAAACTTGGTTTGACTTTGAGCAAGTTATTTAAACGATTTCAGTTCTAGATTTTTCTTTCAGTGAACATGACAATATTAGTCATTTTGATTAATTCCAAATTGTTAAGAGGATAATATCTATAAAGATATTATAGAGTTGTATTGTAATCTGTGCTCATACTAATGTTTGAAAAGAGAGAGAAGAAATGGAGAATAACAATGAGGGGGAAATCGTGCATAGAAATCAGTTATAGTCAAGATTTCAAACCGTGATCCTATACCCCCGAATCACACACAATATTTGTAAACCAGTTTATTTCAATTAAAAAAATCACATATAAAATGCACTGAAACGAAGATGTTTAAAGTTACACAAGATTTATCTAATTATGGAAATGATTTTTTTATTTTCCTATATTTTACTATCCTTTTATTGAGGTAACATTGATTTACAATACTGAATATGATTCAGAGGTACAAGGTCACACCACTTCAGATGTATGTCAACACACCACACCGTCCACCAAAGGACCCACAATCTTCCACCATAGTTCACTGCACCCCCTCACCAAACTCAAGTTCTAATTCTGCCTCTAAAGATTTATCTGGCTTTAGACTCCCAAGTTATAAACTACTATATAGGCTGAGTGATAATTATAGTGCAGATGAGATAAACTCCAGAACACAGCTCTGAACAGATGAGGAAAAAATGTTCTCTCTTGGGAATTGAAAATAAGAATAGCACATAATATTCATCGGTTTTTTTAACTGTGTTCAGGTCAGGGAATGTGTCTTGTGCATCACTGTAGGACTGGATTAGCACACACCGGGTTACTTAGCGCTTGTAGAAAGGATGAAAGAATGAACAGCATGCAGCACTTTGTATGCTTATTTATTTGGTTCTATTAAAGACTCATGTTCCTTCTGAATTATTTGAGGATATTTTGAAGGGTTGAAGTGCATTGGAAGCATTTGTACATCTAATTCTAGTTATTCAACTGAGATCCAGAAAGGCAGGCTATTTGCACAAACTGGAAGATATATTTGATTCCAAGTTTGTGATTTTAATTACCCACTTTGATTTCCAAGGGTATATTTAATCACTCAATGAGTCCGTCAACTAAATGAGTTACTTTGTTCTACCAAGTTTCAGTGAAATATGAACAGTTTAAATATATCTTCATAATAATGAGCTAAGATTTCGTTTCAAAGTGACTTAACATCAAATTCTAGCGCCACTACTCAATATTTAATTAATAATTAAAGTTAACTCAATTTCACATTATTTTTACTATTATTCTAGTTTAATGTTCATTTTGTAAACTCTGAATTATCAGCCTGAGTTGCGCCAGTTAGTAGCTAATCTGATGAGCTTGCATAAGTTCTTTCTTCTCTTTACCTTAAATTTATTCTTTTATGAAGTTAGGAAATTGGGAAACATAACCTCCAAATCATTTTCTCTGGAATAGCCAATGATCTATGAATAATCTAAAATTGCATTTTGCTATCATGGCCAAGCTTTGGATCTAAAGATTTCTGGAAACAAGTTACCACAATACTGAAATAAGTCAGAGTGGATATGTTGATTGATTTCAGCATAGTCTACCCTCCGTTTCTCAATGTGCTTCCTTCCTCAGGACTATAGGGCAGTCACATAAGTCCCAAATGATCCTCATGGAGAACAATACAGAGGTGACTGAGTTCATTCTTGTGGGTTTAACCAGTGACCCAAACCTGCAGATCCCCCTCTTCATAATCTTCTCTCTCATCTACCTTATCACTCTGCTTGGGAACCTGGGGATGATGGAGTTGATTCTGTTGGACTCCAGACTCCACACACCCATGTACTTTTTCCTCAGTAACCTCTCTCTGGTGGACTTTGCTTACTCCTCAGCCATCACTCCCAAGGTGATGGCAGGATTCCTCACAGGAAACAACATCATCTCCTACAATGCTTGTGCTACCCAGTTCTTCTTCTTTGTAGCATTTATCACTGCTGAAAGTTTCCTCCTTGCCTCAATGGCCTATGATCGCCATGCAGCTGTGTGTAAACCCCTCCATTACACCACCACCATGACGACAGGTGTGTGTGTATGTCTTGTCACAGGGTCCTACTTCTGTGGTTTCCTGAATGCCTCCATCCACACTGGGGACATTTTCAGTCTCTCCTTCTGTAGGTCCAATGTGGTTGATCACTTCTTCTGTGACGCGCCTCCTCTCCTGACTCTCTCCTGCTCAGACACCCACACCACTGAGATGGTAATGTTTTTTGTGGTGGGTTTCAATGTCCTCTTTTCTGTCCTGGTCATCTCGATCTCCTACCTGTTTATATTTATCACCATTCTGAGGATACGCTCATCTGATGGACGCCAAAAAGCCTTTTCCACCTGTGCTTCCCACCTCAGTGCTGTCTCCATCTTTTATGGGACAGGCATCTTCATGTACTTACAGCCCAGCTCCAGCCATTCCATGAACACAGACAAAATGGCATCCGTATTCTACACCATGATTATCCCCATGCTGAATCCACTGGTCTATAGTCTGAGGAACAAAGAGGTTAAGAATGCCTTTAAAAAGACAGTGGGAAAGGCAAAGTCTTCAGTAGGATTCATACTTTAGTTACATAGTATTTATAATAAGATAGTTCATCCATAGAAGATCTATTTAGGGAAAATATTTACTTCTCCTAGCCCACAAATTTTTAATTTCTTGTTATGATTTCCCTAGCTATTGATTAAATATATAAAGCAGAAGTCTTGAAAAATATAAAATTTAGGATTAATACTTCAAGAAGAATCACTCAATAATATGGAATTCTTTTTTAAAAAAATTCCTCAAAAGGAACCATTATCAGAACAAAAAGTCAACCCCCTAAGTGGGGGAACATATTAGCAAATCAAACGTCTGACAAAGAGGTTGATATTAAAAATACATGAAGAATTCATGTAATTCAACAATAGCAATGAAAAAGCCTGATTCAAAAGAAAAAAAAAGGATAGAGAATCTCAACAGATGTATCACCAAAGAAAACATACAAATGGCCAAGAGGTAATTAAAGATGTTGATTATCTGTTGTTATGAAAATGCACATTAATAAATCATCTCACATTTGTTAGAATAACTATTATCAAGAAGACAACAAACAGCAAGTGTTAGCAAGAAGACTGAGAAAAAAGAACATTCATATACCATTGGAGAGGACATAAATTGGTGCAACCATTATGGAAAAGAGTATGGTGTTTCCTCAAAGATGTAAAACTGGAAACACTATATGATCCATTTATTGCACTTCTAGGTATTTATCGGAAGAATACCGGAACACTAATGTGAAAAGATACATGCTTACCTACATTCATTGCAACATTATTTACAATAGCAAGATATGGAAACAACCTAAATATCTATAAGTGGAAGAATGGATAAAGAAGTTGTGAGACACACCCACACTCACACACTGGAATACTGCTCAGCTTTCAAAAAAGTTGAAATCTTGCCATTTGCAACGATGTGGATAGACGTTTTGGGTATCATGCTAAGTGAAATATGTCAGAGGAAGAAATAAAAATTCTGTATGATTTCACTTATATGGGGAATGTAAATAAACAAAACAAATGAACAAATAAAATGGAAAAAAAAAACTCTTTTTGGTGAGAAAAGATTAGTGGTTACCTGAGGGGAAGGGAGTTGAGAAGTGGGTGAAATACTTGAAAATGGTTAGTTGACTGTAGTGGAAGGAATTAAGACTTTTGGTGATGATCATTATGTAATATGCACAGATGTCCAATTATAATGTTGTACATATCAAACTTATGTCATGTTATAAATCAATGTTTCTTCAATAAAATTTATTCCAATAATTTTTCTTAATATGAAATTTTTCTTTTTCTTTTCTTTCATTTTTTTAATAATCTTTTTTTAAAGATTTATTTATTTATTATTTATACAAGCACTGGGTACAGTCAGAAGCACAGGAGGGTGAGAGAATTCACCAGAGCCAGAGCGGGGCGCAGGCAGAAGGACCGAAGTATACTGCTGAGGGGAGCAGCGGGCGGCAGGAGAGGTCTGCACGCCATGTGGGACCCTCCTCCATGGCCGGGGAGCAGCCGGGGATCGAACCGGCACTGCAGAGGCTGCGGGCAGCTTTGCAACCCAGTGCTCAACTGCTGCGCCACCGGGGAGGCCCTTCTTTTTTATTTTAAATTTATTTATTTTTAATTATTTTATATATTTGTTACATCATCATTTTTCATTATTGTACAATGTAGGCATTTTCATTTTGGTTATAGTCCCCATAAAATTCCCACCACCCATTCATCCATGAACTATCACAAAGGTCCCTTGTGCTCTTCCCACCCTTGTTTTGATCCTAATCCCTTCTCTCCCTCTGTAGTGTGTCTCTGATTTATAGTTGCCTGTTGATTTTGATTTTTACTTTATTATAATTAGTTTTTTTTCCTGATCCCTTATGTGAATCCTCTACATTACTGCTATAAGTGAGACCATCCGGTATTTTTCTTTTTCTTTCTGTCTTATTTCACCAAGCAAATGCACACACATTATCATTCCTGAGAAACTCAAGTGGCCTATGCACAGAAGGAGAAATTAGGTGATAGGAAGAAGAAGGTACCAGAGGGGATTCCTTGCTTCTCTCTTGGGAGGATAATCTGAAAATAGTCCAGGGGGCATTGGACTGAAAGGATCTGGGGCTTGGGACAAATCTAGAGCATGTACTGGATGTTGGAGACCAGTGTCGACTGTGCCAAAAGGGACACTGAGGAAATTCAAGTCCATATTCCAAAAGGCAGGTGGAGAGAGGTAGCTAGCAACTGCTACCATCTTCTGAATCTATCCATTCTCTGAATCTACTCTGTCAAAAGCATGCTTCTCTAGTATAGAGAGCACTAAGGTTTGGCGATGGCATAAAGAAACTGAGATTTTCAGATATCACAAGTGAGAAAACAAAATGATGCATCACTTTTAAAGACCATTTGTCAGTATCTTATAAAGTTAAACATAAACTTACCATACCACCTGGCAAGATAATTGACCAAGATATTTGATCAAGTGAAATACAAACCTATGTTCATACACAAACCTGTATGCAAATGTTTATAGCAGGTTTACTTTAATCAATTCAAACCAGAAATAAGCCATCAAGTTAAATCCATATAAACAGAATGTTATCTGACAATAAAAAGGAACCAGTTACTAATACATGCAATGAGTACATTATGCTCCAGGAAAGAATCCAACTCAAAAAGGTAGTTTCTATATGATTTTGCTTAGATGACATTTCTTTTTTTGTTCTTAATTACTTTATGATTATTTGCCCATAGAATTGTCACCGCACTTTTATGAAAGTAATGTTTATTTTTCTACTCCAGATTATGTTTGTTGAAGTAAAATAGGTTTCCACCTTTGCATCTGCTCCAGGGCCTATAGGTTCAAACCTCTACAATATCTACTTTCGCACCCTGCCCACCACCAGTGCATTTCTTGAAAAGAAAAAGTCATAAGGACAAAATCACTTTCCAGGACCTGAGGGTGGCAGGAAAGTTTCATGGTAAGAGAATACAAGGGAATTTCTTGGCAGATGGGGCTGTTCTTTATTTTGATTGTGTGCTGGGTACGTGGCCCTATACATTTGTCCTACTGGCAGGATTGTATACTAAAATGCATGCAATTTACTGTAAACGAATATGCCTAAACTGAATAAGAAAGAGATGACAATAACTAATTGCATCAGTGCTCACCAAAAAAAAAAAAAAAAAAAAAAATTGTTTCTTACATAAGTGGCATACAAGGAATAGAAGTAAGTGCGAAGCGTGGGTGGGGTCAGTTCCCCTGAGACCTCCAGGTCTTTAAAACTCCCTCCTGGTTCCCATTCATTATCTTCTAAAATCCCAATGTGATTGTTCTGCTTGACATCTTAGAAGGAACCGATTATCTCCGGAGTCCCTTTGATAATTTATTTACTCGCCTGAATGTGAGACTTTGGTACACATCCTGATCGTCTTCCAAACCCAGGACTTATGTAAGTTCACAATCCTTGACAGGAAAGCTTCCAAGATAAAAAATACATTGAGTAGAGTTTAAATCATAATCCTTTACTGAATTGTTTTGTAGACCTTTCTGTGAATATGTTGCATTAACGATATGTCCAGTTCACAAATAAAGAAACTTAAGTTTGGCTTAAGGTTTAAGTGGCAATTTTAAGACACTTTTTGATAAGTACCCGCGAGAGCTTTTATAGCAGGATTTATATATTCTTCCCTAGCACAATTTCAGAAGACTAAGAAAGGCAAAACATTCAGGATTTCCAACACTTTCTAAGGGACAGGTAAGCTTCTAGGTCCCAAATTCATTTTTAGTGAGAAATGTAATACATACAATAGCAACGGTGCAGTTGATATTGTAAGTTATTTGAGCTAATGGGAAGGCAAACTGAGTTTAGCAGACTTCAAGCTCACTCACCCCTGCAACTTTGCATATTACCACCACTCACTTCCTAAAGCAACTTGGAGATCCTCGCTCAATCCTTGCAGACACAGGCCTGTGCCAAATAGTGATGCTGTGTTTTTAATGTATTAACTTATTTAACTACTGTAATAATCCCTTCTGACAAGCCCCATTAACATCATTATTTTATAGAGGGAAAAGGAGACTGAAGAAGTTGTAAAGAAGTTATATTAGGACCACAGAGTCCCAGCAGGTAAGTGGGGGTGCCACTATTTGAATGCTTAAGGGCTTAAGTGCTAACACCCAGTGCCACACCTTCTCTCCAGAAATGCTGTTCTGGTTGCTGTGTCTCTCTGCTGTGGCATTGTCGCCTCACGTCTAGTTCACATGTGACTCATTTTTATTTTTTTAGGTTTTTCTTTTCTATGCTTATTGTTGAAGTACTGTGTTTTACATCCTTGCTAATGTTGTGAGAATGTAGGATATCCCCCTCAGTGTAGTCACCGTAGCCTTCCCACCACTGAAGCACCATAGTCCTCCAACAAAGTCTGCAGTGCTCTCCCCACCACACATGTCCTCCGTTTTCACACACCCCCACTCCGAAAGCCAGATATCTATGATTAGCTTTCAAGGAAGGATTGATTTTATTTTATTTTATTTTATTTAAAGATTTATCTATTTATTCATACAAAAACTAAGGTACAGGCCAGAAGTGCAAGGGGTGAGAGGATTCACCAGAGACAGAGTGGGGAACAGAAAAGGCAGACTGACGAAATACACTGCTGAGGGGAGCAGTGGGCAAGACAGGAGAGGTCTGCTGTGCCATGTGGGTCAGCTCCCTGGCAGTCTGGAGATTGAAGGCATGCTTCAGAGGCTGCGGATAGCTTCACAGTGCTGTGCTTAACCCCTTGCACCACCAGGGAGGCCCTCAAGGGTTGATTTTAAAGATTGTCTTTGTCTGATCATTTGCTTGGTTTTTCTACATTTCACCTGTAAGTGACACCATCTGGTATTTTTTTTTTTTTTTTGGCTTATTTCACTTAGAATAATTCCTTCCAGCTCCATCCATCTTGCTGTAAATGCCATGACTCTACTTTCTTTTTTTTTTTTTTGATTGCTGAGTACTGTTTATTATGTAGATAGTTCACGTCTTGATTCAC